CCCAGTAGCATAACCCTGAACAATAACATATCTATGCCTTAGTTTTCTCATCTACATAATGGGGGTAGGAGTTCAGCTGCCCAAAGGACAGTGTTGGGAACACACAATCTCTTGAAAACGTTTATTTCTGAAACTTAAATAGGTTTTTGTCCCTTAGTCTAATAATTCTCAAATGGTTTTAGGCATTCATCAGAATTCTCCAGTGTGCTTGTTATCACAGATTGTTAGACTTCAGTCAGAGTTTCTGATTTAATAGGTCTGGGGTAGGGCCTGGTAATTTGACATTCTACCAATTTCCCAGAGCCCTGGTGTCATGCTATAGCACAAGCAGTGGACTAGTAACTGAAAGATCAGTGGTTCAAGCCCACCAGCCACTCTTGAAAACAATACTCAGAGTCACTACGAGTCTGAACCGTCTCGACGGTACACAACAACAACCAATTTCCCAGGTGAAGTTGATGCAGAATCTCCTGATCCAGGAACCATACTTTGAGAACCATTAGCATACAAGGGGACTTCAATATGTTCATGGAAAGGCCCCATTATCTCAATTACATTTTTCCATGAATTGAGTCCGCTCATATACTAATGGTTAGCAATCTCACAATCCTTTATATGGGGAAGAAATGAGGGTTGCTATTCATGTTTTCAAAATGCTGTTCCACTTGAAGAAATGAGAGATTAGTTCTGTTTGTCCACTGAGCCTCAGATGCTACAACTACACCTCAGCAACAGGAAGCCTGTGCTCATGCTCAGGGGGCCATGTGGGAATGCAGAAGCCAGTGGACAACCAAGTGAGCCAACTGGAAAAGTATGGGCAATAGGCACAGATGAGAAGTTTAGAGGCAAATAGGTCATTGCACAATTCCTTTGCATTATCCCCTCCTTCTAGAACTTTCTCTTTTCATAAACACAAAGTCAATACACGCATTGGCTGAGAGTTGATGATAGCCTAGCACAAGTCAAGTAAAAAAAAAAAAAAATCAGAAGAGACTGGAAAAGTACAGACTGCCCTCAGTGGAACTTTGAATCTCCTGGAGAAGGGAGAATTCACACGTGTTCACATACTTAAGAACTGTTAAGTCAAGACAAATAGATAATTAGATGTGAGGTAATATGGCATGGCAATAGAATGTTCTGGAATGAGGGACTTAAGAGATCTGGACAGGACTCAAGAGGTCTGGAGGAGGTAAAGCAGGCCAGCCAAACTTAGAAGGTTACAAAAGCTCTGAAACAATGAAAGGATGCACAGTGGATATGAGAATAGGGATGAAAAAGGTCAGAGGGAACTTTTAAGTCTGTCTCTACTTCTGCCAGTATCCATTCCACCTGGTCATTCCCAAGCCTGTGTCTTGGTTTCCTCAGTTGAGAAATGAGGGGTTGGGGTTACATCAGAAGTTTTCCAATTTTGTTCCATTGTTAAGTGGCCCTAGACCAGAAGAGAGTGAATGGCAAGTGGGGTCCAGCGCTTCTTGTTGCCCACCTTTGCTTCAGCCAGAGTGCCTCCATTGTCTTACATTTCTACAATCTCCAAAACAGTTTCACTTCCAGAAGGAATCTGCAAACCACTCAACAAGAACCTCTGTAAGGGCTCTTTCCACTAGTACATCAGTTAGCTGAGAAATCTTTTAGTACAGGGGATGGGACCAGCTAGGTTAGTCAGACTAGAACCTGGAACAGCTTGAAATGCAGAGAGGAGTTTAAACCAGTGGGACAGGAAAGAGTGAACAACTGAAAGTTTGTGAGGAGGAATACCATGGGAATGGGATGAAATCTGGCCCACAAGCTGCTGGAGAAACAAACTGATCTGACAATCTCAACTCCTCAGAAGGTTCTAATGTAAAAACAAGGGGCAATTTTCCCCCTTGTCAGCTCTTCCCTCTCAGGACATTATATGGTATGCAAAACTGGTAACTGTAAGACAAACATTTTTTTCCGCTGCCCTTCTGAACCCCACAGGCCTTCAGGAAGACCAACATTTCAAGCAAAGCCTTTTTATTTTTTTGACACCCACAGCTTCCATTCAACAATCAGAAGTTTTCCACTTTCATCAAAGAGGCTGAACATAAAGGGCTAAGGAAGTCTATTCTCAGCAGCTCTGAGCAGATTACAGAGCTCCCTGAAACCTACTCACTGCCCATGTCCACCAGACAACTTGGCCTTCTCCTCAAATCAGTCAGTATGCACCCTCCAAAAAGACACTGGCTTATCCATCCCAATTACCAGACCAAATGAATGTGTACACCTACTTCTTCCAAAACAAAGCTAAGTTTGGGATGAATGGGATCTCAACCTCTTTAAATGTGAAAAGGGTATACTGCCTACTACTTTATTTAAAGAAAACAATTCATCTCTTGATGCCTTTTTCATCTCCAGGATCTGTAATTTTACGGATTCACTAGGAAGAAACCTTCAGACCAACTCCTAGATGTTCAGAAGTTTGGGATCTATGCAAGGGCAGCAATGGTAATAATCCAAGCTTGGCATCAGACACAGGATATTTCCTTAGGTAGGTCTGGAATCACTATGGCTCTCAGAAATGTATGGTAATAAAAAAAATTGAGCAGAAAAAGGAGAGATGCTATAAATAATTGACTACTTCCCGGGGTGATATCAAATGAAATTTTCAAAAAGCCACATCTGGAACCAGCAGCTATGCAATGAGTCTCATTTTAAATGGCGCTTTAAAATGGAATACCAGCCAGAAAGATTACCCCTTGTCGTGGCTTTGATTCCATCCACGTGCAGTGCACCTTTAGGAGAGAGAAGATCTGCCCCTTTGAGTTTCAGAGACTATAAATCTTCACTGGATCAGACAGTTTCGTTTTTGTCCTCCAGAGCAATTGGTGAGTTCAAAATTGCTGACCTTTTGGCTAGCAGCCCAACACGTAACCCACTATACCACCAGGGCTCCAGTAGTTAGTGATCATAAATGTGTGACCCAGTTCCGTTCCCCAGAGAATCTATTATATTTATCTAAATTCCACATTTGGTCCAGGGGACCACGTGGAATGTTTAACTGTACTGGTTCAACACCATCCGCTAAGTCTGTACCCAGTTACAAAGCACCCTTACATCAGTATTTCATTTGATCTTCACAGTGGCTGTCAACACCAGCATCTTAAGCCCATTTTACAGATATGAAAAAGGGAGGTTCTTAAGAGCTTGTTTAAGGGCCCAAGGTTAATAAAAAATAGGACTGAGACAGACTGAAAACACTTGGTAGATTTCCAACCATCAAGTATTTTATTTTTTTTAAGTGCTGTCTAGTCTGTTCTGACTTACAGTGACACTATATAACAGGATTTCCGAGGAGCAGCTATTGGGTTTGAACCACCGATCTTGCAGTTGAAACCGACCTTACAGTCTAGTGTTTTCTCCTACAGAGCCACACCAGGACTCCATCAAGTGCCATAAAGGTAGAATAATAGCGCATGGACTTTGACTAAGCAGATGTGGATGTGTAGCCAAGTTCTTTCATTGAACAATTATGGGTGACTCGGTTTTAGTTTTGTTTTGTATACTTTCTGAGACTCAATGTTCCCATCTTCAAACACAAACATATGACCTGCTTCCGAAGGCGGAGGTGAGGGGGAAGCGAGGTAATGTATGTAAAGTTCCTAGCACTATGGCTGAGACAGCAGAGGTCAGTTGTACAAGTTATTTGCATACACACACAACACACACACTATGCATGCACACCACATTATGCATACACCATTACCACACACAATGTATACATACCACACATCACAAACAGAGTGTTAGTGGCTCTGTAGGATAAGCATTGAACTGCAAACCACAAGGTTGGCAGTTCAAGTCCACCAACCACTGTGTGAAAGAAAACTGAGCCTTTCTGCTCCCATAAAGATTTATCATTTCAATAACCCTGTACAGCATCACCATGGATTGGAACAGACTTGGTTACAAGTCAGGCTGCCAACCTCAAGGTCAGCAGTTTGAAACTACCAGCAGTTCCGTGGGAGAAAGATGAGGCGTTCTGTTCCTGTAAAGATTTACAGCCTTGGAAACCTTATGCAGGGTCACTATGAGTTGGAATCGACTCCACCGTACTTAACAACAACAACAAAAACAACAACACACTACAAACACATCCATAAGCATACATCACACACACACTACACGCACCACAAGCACAACCACATACCTACCTCACACATGCATCAAGTATATACACTACACATATACCACATACATGCACCACACAGAACAGGTGCTACAAACACACACATCCCATTCTGTACCGCACCACCTCCTTACTTCCACCCCCTCAGCCAATTCCTTCTCCTTTTTTTAAGTATTATATGGTAGGCCCAGGTTTATCCCAAACCACTACAGGAGTGTTTGTTTAGAAGACTAGTTAGTGTTTTTAGATGCTTGCTCTTTGACAGTATCTTAGAACCTGCCACGAGCTTGCCTCCCTCTAGATGAATCTCCATATCTGAGCACTCTTCCTTCCCAAATATCTTGTAGCATTTCCAGTTCTCATCAGAAGCTGACATTATCAAACTGAACCCTTTTGAGCTATTTTACTGCAACCCAAGGAATCCAGCCTCCCTGAGCCCCAATAAAGAGAGAATATCTGAGGAGGTATTTCGAGTAGCAAGCCTCACTGTACGGAAGGCGGTTCGTGGCTGAAACTAAGTGAAACAGAAGTCTCTCTGTGCACACACACACAAGAGAGGAACCGTCATTTTCCTATGAGCCCTCTGACATCAGCTACCTTTTCTGTAGCTACAGTTTCTCTGCACTCAAAGTAATCCTTGGCGATGAAAAATGAACCTCTCCCCCACCCCTGCTTCTGCCTTTTGCCTCACGCCCCCAGAGAAGGGTTTCTTCTCAAAGCGGCTGGTGAAGGTTTTTTTCCAAGTCACATGATCCAGGATGCAGGAGAAGAATCCTTCTTGGAACAGAGATGGGCCCAGAACCGACTCAGATGAGGAGAGATAAGATGTGATGTGGGGACGACTATATAAAGAATGGACCCCGGGCTGCAGCGAGCACTCAACAGTGTGGCCCCTTCTCAAGACACAGCCATGCATGTACCTGCAGGCTCCGTCGCCAGCCACTTGGGAACCACGAGCCGGAGCTACTTTTACTTCACTACAGTCACCCTGGCTCTGTGTCTAGTCTTTGCTGTGGCAACCATTATGGTGTTGGTAGTTCAGAGGACGGTAAGTGGCTTCCTTTTCCTCGCCTTTTCTTTCTGATTTATGTTCAGCTTCTACCAGAGAAAGCCTTGAGAACAAACTAATCGATTTTTTTCGAGAAAAAAAAAAAAAAACATGTATCATATAGTGAAAGGGAGAAAAGAAAGAGGAACTTCACGCTCTGAAACTATTTTACTTTTGCAGAAAAATATTTATGGAGCCATCATCTCAAAACTATGCAGTCTCATATGAGCCAAAGGAGTAAAGAGAACTATTATTGGCATTCAGAAATTAAAGTTTAAATCTTCCTGAGCCAGAGGCCCATATTGAGGAAGGAAGCAATGAGGACTTCATAACATGTTTACACAACTGGTTACCATGTCTTCATGCGCTAACATTCTGTAGCCTCAGTCAAATGTTGCTGAGATCTTATCCACTGCCAAGACTTAAAACTAGAAGCAATTTCAAAGGCCAAAATCCAAGGAAAGAGGCAAAAACAAAGACCTAAGCTCCGGAGAGTGCAGACATTTCATTATTGAAGCTGGCAGGGCAAATTGAAATCTTACTAGCAAACCACTGCTTTCAGGAGCTTAGGGTGTCAGAAGACATGTAGAGCATAGAGGCATAAAGTAGAAATGTTTTTAAACACCTGTTTCCTCAGAGACACCTCAAAATAGTAATACTACAAGCAACTGTGAGGTGCAACAGGACAGGGGCCAGCTTTCTCTGGGTATTTACTTTGTTTGAAGTAAATGGTAGGATTTGTATGCTAAAAGAGAAGATGAGATGAAGGAGGAAGTGCCGTCATGTTTTAGAAAATGTTTACAAAGGATTCACCAGTACATATTGTATTGAAAATACTGCCCTGACATCGTATTATTTATTGTTCCTGACTTTTTCAGTGAAGTTGTTTATTTTAAGAACATACACACTTCACCTTGGCTAAGTGAAGTGTCTTTGTGTTTATACTCCATAGCGCCCATTTGTTACGGTTTTACAGTCCTGCAGAGTCTGTTCTGCATTTCCTCAGTTGTCTTAGCCCAAATGCTTTATAACCTTTCAGTTGTTGAAAAGAACTTGGCTTTAAAGGGCTTTGGTGTCCATTTCTCAAGTGGCATAAAGCTGACATTTTTTAATGAAATTCATATCTTCTTAAAAGCGAAATAAAACAGTTGCCAACACTTTATTTAGATAGTGGAATTTTTTTTTTTTTAGAAATCATAATTTAATGGAATTATCTGCTTCTACTAAGAATAATACTCTTGAAGACATTCTAGGGTGCTTTTTTGATTTTCTATCTAGAAGCTCTACATTTTCTTTAATTCTAATTTGGAATAAGCCATTAGTGTGTCATCTTATAGGAATGGTCAAAGAAAAGAAGTAATTTTTAATAAGTTCTTTAGTTAAAGGATGCTGAAAGAACTGAAGAAAAAGGAAAGGAGGGAGGCAGGGAGAAAGAAAGGAGAATGGGGAAAGGAAGGAAGGGGAAAATAAAGCAAGAGAGAGAAAGCCAAGATGGCAAGGGGGGCTGGGAGGGAAAGATAATGATTTACAAAGCTAGAGAGAGCTCCAGAATGGAACTCATTCAAATACAACTTTTAGTTGAATTGATTCCTCCCACGACAAAATTGGAGTGGATCTTTCTGCCTCATTTTCACAGATGTGGAGAATGAGGACCAGAGAGGGGACAAGGTTTGAACTAATTCTCTTTCTTAGAAAGAGATAGAGTCAAGGCTGCTTGATTGTTAAAGAGAGCAACACTCCATTTGCCAATAAAGCCACAGAGGAGTAAGAAAATATTTCCCCACAATGCTTTTGGGAGCTTTTTCTTCTTGTGCATCCATTTCCATTTCTTACCACTCATGTTGGATATGCAAGAACTAGCTTCACAGTCTAACTATGTCCTTTAGTATGGTGATTTCTTAGCCTAAGAAAAATCAGTTATATATTTAAAATCTTAGTCCTGTAATATCTAAAGGGATGGTGATATGTAATGCTAAATGTTTTATGCACACTATTTCCAATAAATTGTGCAGACATTAACAGTCACATAACTGAAAAGAAAAAGTCATTCCTTTGAGCCTGAGTTTTCAGGGAAGACTGTCTACAGGAACAGTAAATATAGATGTGCTTTAGGACAGGTAGGACTTCTGGGAAAGAAATCAGTGGGAAATATCGAAGGAACATAAACTCACATCCCCATTACTGAAAATACAAGGAGTTGATGGCCACATAAAACGCTGTGCATGAGGTTGTCCTAGCTGAGCATGGGATCAGAAATAGAGAACAATTAGGAAAATGGTTTTACTAGCCTAAGAGGTAAAGCACAGTTCTAGATCAAAAAGCACATGCAGACATAGCATTCAAAACAAGATGCATCGATAAGAAGTGATGGTCTTTCTTGAGAAGTTAGGGAGAGAGTGCTATCAGCCATATTGAACAAAAACTTCACTGGATATTGGAGTTTGGGGTCAGCATGAGAAATGTGGACAATAGCAAACAGGTTAAAAAGTGACATCAGAGGAGAAGGTTGGCCTAGCCATTGGAATCGTATGGGCAAAGGTATCAAAGAGTGAAAACACAAGACATGTAGGAAAATATACAAAGATTATCTTGATAATTAGATAGAAGATCAAATAATGACAATGTCAAACACTTTGAGAAATACAAAAAAGGAACTTAGGTTTCAAACTCATATATTTATTGAACATCCACTGTGTGTAGAACATTGTTCTAAGAACTATGAACTAAACCAATGAAATCCCTGCTCTCAATTGTTTATAGCTTGCTTAATAGAACTTGCTTTCTAGTGATTATCTTTGAAGTATCCGTGGTGGTTGCATTTTCTTTTCATTTAAACTGTATATTAATTATAAAATGTTATATTCACATGGTTTAAGAAAAATAAACTGTCAATGAGGGAAAGTAAAGAAAAGCAGAAGTCTTTCATACTCTCCCATCCACCCTCCAATCCCTCTTCCCTGAGATAGCTACCATTGATTGGTTCTTGTATGTTCTCCAAAACTCTTGCATTTCTTCAAGTATATAGTACACACAGCATTAAAGTAAAGCAACAATTTTGCACCTAGCTTGATTCATTTGGCAGTTTTATCTTGGAAAGCTTTCCCTGTCATTGCATAAAAGTCCATTTCATTCTTTTGAAGAGTTGCATAGTGTTCTTTTGTACAAATGCCTCATAATTTATTTTATCCGTGCCCAAACAGGGACATGTATTTTTTTTCTAGAATCTTTTTTTTCCCCTGAGCACACAATGATACATATATCTGTGGAATAAATTCCATTAGTTGGAGTAAAATATGAATTTTTATTTCAATACATTTTGCCAATCAGAGTCCAAAGAAATTATGCTGTTGAAGAAGTAAAACTCCTACCAACAAAGAGCTACCTCTTCACTTAACTATAGGGAAAAAGAAAACTGATTTATTATTATGTAAGCACAATGGAGCATACACATATAGGTAAGCCATAAGGAACTACAGAGTTAAGATGAAATGTCATACAATTTATACAACAAAGAAAAATAAGAAAATGCCTCATATGTCATTGAGAGATAAAGGATTACATAACAAGATAGACTACTAAATTTTTAACACTGTGGAGTTCCTGGGTGGTGCAAACAGCATGTTTCACTGCCAGTCAAAGGTTAGAGGTTCAAGTCCACCCAAAGGCACCTCAAAAGAAAGTCATGGTAATTTCCTTCCCCAAAACTCAGTCATTGACAATCTTATGGAGTGTAGTTCTATTTTTACACACATTGGTTCACCAGGCGTCAGAGCCTACTCAATGAAAGCAGTTTTGTTTGTTTTTCATGAGGCCTTCAATCTTGGAGGTACCTCTACATTAAAAAAAAAACTGTCACTGGGCTTCTCTAGTCCCTAAAGAGATCCATGTGTATCACAAATGGTTAGAACAAGGACTTACGATTAGTATGTCTTCAAGGATACTTTTCAAGATAGATAGTAAAACAGCTATTTACTTTCCTTTTATGAACAAAGAAAAGAAAATGTTAATATATTCTAACAATTCTGCTCTACCTCCCCACCAACAATGAGCTGAGAACCTGTTTACTTGCTGTTGCTGCTAAATGCTGTCAAGTCGGTTCCAATTCATAGTGACCCCTGTGTAGGGCTCCCGAGGGGTGGCTGGGGCTTTTCCTCCAGGACCACACCAGGACTCTTGTTTAGGGGTGCTGATTGGTGGTGGTGGTGATATAGTTTGGCGTTTGTTTTTAAGCTCTGGCACATACAAGGGGGCTTCAAAATGTTCGTGGAGAAATGGAATTAAAAGGATAACAGAATTTTTCCCTGGAATTTGAAAGCCCCCTCATATCTGCTGTTGTGGTTATGTGCCATCAAATTGGTTCCAACTTACAACAGCCCTGTAGAGGGATTCTGAAGAGCTGCTGGAGGATTTGAGCCACCAACCCTGAGGTTAGCAGTCCAGTGCTTATCCTATAGTGTCACATCAGGACCCTGTGATGCTTCCTTCTACCCAAATTACTTTCTCCATTTGGCATTCATTCTATTTAACAGCCTAAAAGTATTCACTGACAATCTTCTCAAGAGCCAGCCCTGTGCAAAGGATCCAATTGGGCCTGGAAGGACCCTGTCTTTTAAGAACTCTATCAAGTTGAGGAAATGATGCTCAAACACCAAGAGCTTAAGTTCCAGACACAATGGCACAGAATGCCACAGGCCTGAAGAGAGGGAGAGAATCTCCTCTTGGGATGAAGTAGGGGTTTACTGAAATGCAGGAGCAGAAGCCAGGCCTACGAGAACTAGAAGAATCCTTTCTTATGGCCAAAGTTGTATTTTGAAAATTTAGGATGATGAAAACCCATATAACCTTTACTTAGATTCATTAAGTGTTAAGGTTTGGCCTTATATGAGCTCTCTTTCTATACGCAAGCCCACGGCCAACGAGTGAATTCCAAATCATAGTGACCCAATGTTAGATTTCTGAGACTGTAAATCTTTACAGGAGCAGAGAGCCTCATCTTTCTC